GTTGCACATTAATTAAATGCATCCTTTTCAGGCGGCCTTTAAATGAAGGTTGGCAGAGAAAATAAAAAATAAAAAATAAATAAAAATTACAATTTATTATTTCATACAATTAATTCTCCCTTTTTTTTATTCTTTCGAGGACCAATCACATGGGTTGACGTATTCTCAGTAATTATTCAAATTCATATTTCACAAAAATTTTAAATTCTATTTTTTATTTTTTATTATATAGTTCTATATAATTTAAAATTTGAAATTATTTAAGTCTTTTTTATATAATTATTCATTTACTCGGCTAAATTAATAAAAATAATCCTAAATTTTATATTTTGTTTTAAAAATATCGCTAAACTTTAATAAAAAATATACTCGTAACAAAATTTGAATTATGAAACGTGTTTAAAATTCTATATTTTTTAAAATGTAATTCTATATTTTAAATTTAAAATTAAGCAATTTTTTTTTTTATTGGAAGAATATAGGAGGAAAATAAATAAATAAATAATAATCTGTCATCGGGAGACTGTATTTATTTACAAATTTACAGTTTAACCTAAATAAAAAAAAAATTAAAATACATTTCAAACACATTAAAATATGATTTATTTCAATTGTTCATACGTTTAAAAGGTTACATTTTTACCCCTAAAATTTGAGTTTAATTTTCGATTGGTCCATAAATTTAAAAGATTTTATACTCTTACCCCTTCATTTAAAATAATTAATTAGTTTTTTTATTAAAAAAATCTCGTCATAATTATTTTTTAATTAATTAATTGAAACTTAATCCCAAAAACCAAGACCCAATTCCTAAAATTAAACCAACATTAGTAAAAGAATAATAAATAGGTAACAATAATTCAACTACCAAATATTGATAATTAATAAATGAGGAATCATTAATTATTTCACCTTATAATTTTATGTTTTGTAACAAAGTTAATGCTGGATCCTCTTCTATAGATATCTTGGCCCACCACTAACTAATAACTTTTAAAATTCATAAATCCTCAAAATATTTATTAAATTCCAAATTTAAAAAAAATAGGTAAAAAATATATATTTTAAATAAAAAAATAATTAAGTTACCCTTTCTTTTAAAATACTGAAAATTTTAATTTCTAGAATAATGTAGAAAATAAATTAATTTTTTTCTTTAATTATTTAAAAAGCTAAATATTCTTAATTTTTATAATAATTTTGAAAATAAAGTATAACGGTTGAGATTTAAAATAAAAATAAACCAACCAACCCATCTAAAATTTTAAATTTTAAAAAAATTGAACTCAATTTAAACGGAAAAATATACAACATAACCCTAAACTAACATTTTTTAAAATTTCAAAAGTTTGGAATTTAATTATTTTATTAAATATAAAATAAAAATTTTAAGGAGCTAATGGAAAAATGAAAAGAGACAAAGGAGCAAAAAGAAATAGAAGGAAAAGGAAAAATCCTAAATAGGGAGGAGAGGATGAAAATAGAAAAAAAGAAAATAAAAAAATGGGGCATTAAATATGAATATGTTAGAGTCGGGATTTAACCTGTTACCGGCAGTGGTTCATCGATTAAAGTTAGAGATAGAGAGAGAGAGAGGGCTCTCTCGTCAATTTTTCATTAAATGCTCCTCCCCACCTCCCATTAATGACCCCTACAAAATTGCCAGACAGCTCTCATTAAACACCTCCCACCTCCCCTTCTCTCTCTCTCTCTTCCGTCCACCTCCGCCGTCCGTCGCATCGCTTTTCTTCCTCCGCCATATCTCCCACCGTCCGTTTTTTCCCTCTCTCTCCCTCATCATGTCCGCACACGTGTCCTCTCCTATTTTTCACATTTTCCCCCTTTTTTTTTTTTTTTCTTCTTGTTTTTCTCTCATCTTCGGTTGAATCTCTCCGGTGATAGTAATGCCTCGGGATCTCCGCATCTCAATCGGCTCGATGAGAACGTAGCTGCTCCTCCGCTGGTTACCGACGATCGGAGAAACATTGGACTTGTCATCGACTTGCTTCGTCTCGATGAACCTCCGCCTACGCCGTTGGAGAATCTCCAGCTTGATTCCGATAGCGGAAAGAATCCTCCTCGTCGTCTGAAGAACGGCGATTTCATTCCTCTGTAGTATCGGAATGAGAACACTCTCGCCTTCGGTAGAGATCCGAACGGTGATGGCCGTTTGCTCCAGAAGCTTCCACGGCGGTACCTCCATGGCGATGCGGTTGCCGGTTCCAGAATCATTCTCTCTGACGCCAAGCTTCGTTCGAATCCGAATGAATACGATCGCTTCAGTAAGAAATCTCGCCCGTTCATTTGATCCTCTAACGAATTACTGTTCCTTGGTTCATCAACGTAGGGCGTGATTTCCGATTCTGTTGCGTTATAAGAATCTCGATTAGGAATAGGACCTTCCGCTAGCGGCTCTAGTACGATGCTCTGTAAGATCGTATCGTCGAGGCTTGGCCGGATTCTAGCTGCCATAACCGGCGTGAACGGAGATTCTGGCCTGAAAACCACCGCGCGACATAGAGGACAGTTCGCGTGTGATCTAAGCCATACGTCTATACAATCAACGTGAAATGCGTGAGAACAAATCGGAAGCGTTCGGACGTAATCGTCGTCTTCAAACTCCAGAAGACATACGGCGCACTCACGGTCACGGCTGTCACGGCGACTCTTGGCAGTATAGACGGAGAGTGGAATCGTCTTGATGATGGATTCGTCGAGGCCGTACGGGGAGAACACGTGGAAGCCATCCGTATGCTCGAAGAAAGGCGAATCGTAAGGGAGCGAATCCAAGTCGCCGCCGGAGGAGGACGGGAGGTAAGATCGGGCGCGCCGTCGTCTCCGCCGCCACCGCCGCCAGCGGCGGCGGTGGCGGCGGATGAGGAGGAGGATTGGAGGGATGACGTGGCGGGAGATGAGGCGAGAGTAAGTGACGATGAGAAAGGCCGTAGCGATGACGACAACCATTGCGATTAGAGGAGGGCTGAAGTCGACTGGGAGCTTTGCCGGCAGTAAGGATGAGGGGGGAGGGAAATTGACGGCGGCGGCGGAGGAGGAGGAGGAGGAGGTGGAAGGGGAAGGAGAAGGAGATGGAGATGGAGAAGGGGCGGTCGACATGGAAGGTGCTGCAATGGCGGACTGTGAATTTTGTTGCAGAGAGGGAAGAAAAAGAGAGGGTTTAATGGAGAGGGAAGATAGAAGAGAAGGGGGGTTTATTTGGATCCTTTGACTCGTTGTTAGGTCCTCCATGCGATTTGTCGACGAGGACATTGGGTGAGTGACACGTCACTGTTCATGAATTTAAGGCCCTCGAGTTTTCATCTTCTGCGGACCATCACATTCCAATCTTCCATGTGTCTATTGCCACGTCACCAACCCTCCTTTCAATATATTATCAAACATAATTCCAACATATCTCAAATTCATTAAATTCCCGTCCTATCCAAACCCAAACCCAAACAACCTTTAAAGTCTATCCAAGACGTAACTTCGATCACTTAAAAGAGATACACTACTCGAGTAGGTGTCTAACTAAACTTAACAACACCACTTCAAACAAATCATTAACTCAGCACCAATGCAAAGTCTGACCTATCACGCTAGCTTGTTACAGAATCCGCTAACATGTACTTATTCAACCATATTCTCACATCATAATAGAACACAATTGCTCGATATATTACTTAAATTATATTCAATATTATTTATCATAAAAAATTTAGGAAGGAAAGTATAAAGATAGAAAAACTATGATGCTACAATGATATCATACCTATCTCATGTGATTAAAAATGAAAAGAATATTAAGTTTTTTTTTTTTAATTTTAAATAATGAAATAGGACAAAAGTTTTTTCTAGTTGAATTAATGGAAAAAAATTTGCTTTCAAAAAGATTGGGAGGTGGAAGACACGTGGCAGATGTTGATTGGAGAAAGTGGGTAGATGTGGGCACAGAGGAACAGAAAGTAAAAAGTGGTGGCCCACATAAGAGAGAGTAGGGATCTTTCCATGAAATTTGATGTCAAAGGAAAATCCATTCATACGTAAAACAAAATATAATAATAATAATAAATAATTAATTAAAAATAAAATAAATAATTAAGATAATAGAATGGATGTATGAGAACCAGTGCAATTAGAGTCCACAGCCACAAAGTCAATAAAAAAAAATAAATAAATAAATTTAATTTTAATAATAAATAAATAAATAAATAAATAAATTTTTGGGTCAAAAGTTGATAGTGATGTGAAGGGCAACTTTTTACATAATGGAGCACTAAAAATAGGTTGGCCAATACAAATTCTCCCTCTGGAATACTATCGAAAAAATGTGTGTATTTTTTTTTAATATTTAATAAAATTTTAAATTATTAATTTTATAATTACCAAATTTACAATATTTATCTAATTTTTAAATTTTAAAAAAATAAATCTAGTTGACAATTCTTTAGTTTCAATAATTTTAAAAATATTTAAAATTTAAATATAGTTTAGTTTTGGAAGGTAAATATAAACGTTACAAATAAATAATTTATATATTTTGATGAACTATTTATATTTTTAAAATTATAATTTAATTAGAAACAAATATCATCCGAACAAACAATTATATATTAAATAAAGGGTTGGACAAGTTTTTTTTTATTCTCGATTTTATTAATTTAAATTAAAATATCAATTTGGATCATAAACCTAATTAAAATTCTAAATTTAAAAAATTTTAAACTTTCAAATTTTTTATTAATGTAATTCAAAAAATACTAATGAATTTTTAATTAAAAAAATAATCTATGATATGAAATTATTTTTGTTCATCCAATAAAAAAAATATTTGATCAGTTTTTTCAAATAAATTAGTAACAGTAAAAGTATTTTTAATTTTTTAAATTGAAGAATATTTTAAAAATAAAATATTAACCATTTTTATTGTTTTAAAAGATTTAAGAATTTTATTAGGAGTATTTAAAAAAAAAATTATGAATATTTTGATGTAAAATATATGGTGGGACTCGGCCTTAAACCCACCCCAAGTCGAAAATCCCAAATCAGAGTTCTAGGGTTTTATCGTCGATTTTCGATCATTCCTCTGTTCGGCGAAAAATGTTTCCAGGAATGTTTATGCGCAAGCCTGACAAGGCTGCTGCTCTCAAGCAACTCCGATCACACGTTGCTATGTTTGGCGTATGGGTTGCTGTAATTCGAGTCACCCCCTATGTTCTTCACTACCTTTCCGACGAGAAAGAAGAACTCAAGCTCGACTTTTAGGTTATTCTCTAAGCTGTTTCAACTCAATTGTGTTGATTCTTCTTGTGGGGGTTTGGATTAATGTTTTCACTCTTGATAAATGACGCGATTTTATCCCATCCGAATTTCGACCTCTAGTTTATTTCCTGATCTATTTATTCTATGTGTATCATCCCTTGGAAGTTGTGTTCGATTTGGGAAATAGATCTGTTCTTGTTCCGTTGCGGATTTAGATGAGCTCTGCTTCATGTTTATACTCTCGTTGTGAATTATCTTGAATTTTACGTTATTCGATTCCACTGCAATTCACCAGTCTAGGAGCGGTTGATTTTGTTAAATTAGCTGCTTAGCAGTTCCTGTTATGTTAATTTGTTCTCAGTAAATTGCAATTTTTTCTTGGTTATGCCTGCAGTAATTGGAACAGATAAGTGATTCTGCTGCATTGTTCATGTTTCATATGGCATTTAGTCGACAAACCGAATTTCTGTCTCTCCCTTGGTCTCTCTCAAAATCCTTCTCAAAGGGTCAGGCACTATAACCCTGAGCCATTAGTGGATACCCTCGTACCCTACATCGACATATAATTTTACAGATATTCTGATGAAATTGGAGTTCGAAGAAGATTTCATACTTGATTCTTGTTCATTGCATCAGAAGTTGTCTGATGAAATGACAGTTTCATAGACAATAGGATACCTGAATGCAATGAGGTTAGAAAATTTTTGTATGGGTATGCAAGGGAATACGAAATTGCATTGCATTTGACAATATGTTCTTAGGAGGGTCCCTTGACTGCCATGAGATGGGAGCTGGGAAATTTAATAACTCTTAAGTTGGTAGGTTTTCTGCTTGAAAATGAAACGAAATTATACATAATTGATGTTATCTTCTGATTAGTAGGAAAAGAACCGCCTCTTTACTTCATTCCAGTATAATATATTTCAGGTTTGGAGGTTCCTTTTCAAAGGTGATACCGATTTCTTGTGATGAATTTACGAATGTTTCATCTGTAGAATATTCGTGCCCGTTATTCCCCCGCGTAACAAAAACATGCTTTTGGTTGCTCTGTGGTTATGGAACCTTGTTCAAGGTTAATCTTAAAGGCAAGCCTAAGCTTATTAGTAATTTTCTTGACTACTCTCTTCTGTTCCTCCTGTTCCCTCCATTTTTTTCTTTAATCTGATCAACTCTAACTTATTTTCTGCATAATTACCAATGAGTTTGCCAAAGTATGTTTTGGGTTTAGCTTTGTTTATCTGTATTGCGGGTATACATCTCACTGTTTGTGGACTATAAATCGAGGTTAATTTTTTACTTTCTATGTCGTTTATGTAGCTCACTCAGCTTCCTTCTATTTCTGGTTTTTGATGACCTTAATGTTTGCGCAGCTGTGTGTATTTCTATTTAGTTTTGGACCAATCGCTAAACCTTTGCTCCTTCATTCTTTATGCAGTTTGTGACTGGAGCATGGGGTTAGGTTTTTCAAATCACAACTTTTTTCTTCTTCTATTGATCCCATGAGGAACAAAAGGAAGGAGGCTCTTCATCTTTTTCATTATTTTTCATTTTCACCTTTTATATTGAATCATAGGCCTATGGGTAATATGGCGCGTGAGACTTGAAACCATTCCATTAAATCACAAGTTGGCTATGGGGCAGATAATGTAGGTTGCATTATAGGTAGTTGGTAGACTATGTTAATGTGAGATGCAGATGGCACTGTCCTTCTATGCAGCCAAAGTTATTGCCTCAATTATTATTATAACTTTGTTCCCATATTGAACTCTCTATGAGTATAATGAATTCCCCCTAGCCAAAGTTAGTGAGATCACATTAATAATATATCCTTCAATTAGCTTTATAGAGTTAGCTCTAACTTATTGATGTCACGTATAAGGGTACACTTTCGAACCTTGAGATTTATGAAGTTTTAAGATAGGGATGCTTTTAGTTTGGAGGTTTGACAAGTTCCTAAGGTGCAACAGCTTAAGCACACCGCTAGCAGATATTGTTCTCTTTGGGTTTTCTCTATCGGACTTCCCCTCAAGGTTTTTAAAACTGTTCTGTTAGGAAGAGGTTTCCACACCCTTATAAAGAATGTTTCACTCTTCTCCCCAATCGATGTGGGATCTCACAATCCACTCCCCTTTTGGGGCCCACCATCTTTGTTGTCATTTGTTATCTTCTTCAATCAATGTGGGACCCCCCAATCCACCCCCTTTGAGTCCAAATGTCCTTGTGTTGCTCACAATCCACTTCCCTTTGAGGTCCAACGTCTTCGTTGTCATTTGTTCTCTTCTTCAATCAATGTGGGACCCCCCAATCCACCCTTTGGGGCCAAATGTCCTTGTTGGCACACCGCCTCGCGTCTACCCCCTTCGAGGCTCAACCTCCTTGCTGACACATTGTCCGATGTTTGGTTCTAATACCATTTGCAATAGTCCAAGTCCACGGTCAAATCTTGTCCTCTTGCCTTCCCTTTCGGGATTCCCCTCAAGGTTTTTAAAACGTGTTTGCTATGGAGAGGTTTTCTCATCTTATAAAGAATGTTTTGTTCTCCTCTCCAATCGATGTGAGATCTCACAGAATGACCTCGAACTCATTTGATCATTAGTTAACTAACTATAAATGATGCATTAGTTTAAATGTTTGATTGCGATTAGTTTAAATGTTTGATTGTGCAGGCGATTTATTAATTGAATATGATTATTCCAAACGCGTTATTAATTTCATAGAAGATGATGCAATCAGCAAGATGGTAGATCTGGAAGAGACAAAGGGAGTAGAGGATGCTCAAAAACAGGTATTTGTGTGATTATAAAGTGATTGTAGGGCATATGCCCTTATTAATGTAGATTGTAGGGTATGTGATGTCATGAGTTCCCAATAATTCAGAGCGTCACTGTAGGGCACAGATGTTGCCTCCAAGTTCCTGTATGCAATTTAAGACTGTTTCTGCAGGGGACATCATGTCCATGCTTCAATAAAATCTTCTTGGCACCATATTGTTTGGCTTCATTTCACACATCAATGATTCTTATTTTCCACAGGATATGGACAAAGAATGTCTTTAACACTAGCAAGAAAACAAAAATGAGTAAAAACTTACCATTTTACTGCTTTCTTTATTTCCCTGTAAATTCCTTGATTTTTAATTTTGTTTCGGATAGGTCAAAATTGAAAGACTCGGGATTCTATTAGACATAAAATAGATCTGGTAATTTCAAGCGCGTATATGGAACCTACTTGGGTCCTATTTTTAAGAATTTTAGTTCAGAGGTTAATTGAAATTTATAAAACGTCCTTCGTTTTTACCATAAAACCACAAATAAGTTGCATGTATTTTTTCTAAGTATAACTCTAGACTGTGTATCATCCACCTAGCTTGAATTAATTATATGGATTTATTTATAGGAAAGATCTGAGAATAGAATATTAGTGGGAATAAAATCATGTTCTAAATAAAGTTGTAATGACTAATAAATTATGAGTTGGAGTTGTCAAAGAGATCTTGGACAGTTATAATGATCTACTTTCCAGTTCAACCAAAAAGCAAAACATCATTCCTTTTCAATTTCAAGCCAGAATTGATCAAGAAGATCCACAATAAATACGAACAGTTTCCAAAATTCGAATCGATCCAACTCACATACCCTTACGAGGCGTTCGATCATCTCTTAAAGACCATAGCCATGGAAATATCATGAATGAATTATCCCCCAAGTCAATGATCAGAAACAAAGCTCATACCGGTTAGCTCCCATGGCTATTATCTCGAAAGCTGGAATAAGAAACTTGTCAGCTAGCTCGGATCGTCGGGGTAGGTAGGTCGGTCGTCTTCTCCTTACTTGAATGACCAACTTTTGGATCTTTTCAGCTCCCATGGAGGTAGGCAGCCTTTATAATGAGAGTGTAGAAACAGTGAAGATATTGAAACTTCCTTTTGATTCATGGAGATTGAGGATAAGCAACTGAACCCGCTTCTTAGCCGTTTCTTTTCGCTGTCCTGTCCTTCGAAGCTCGGGTCGTGTTCCATGGTTGTCGCCTTAAGTGCCTTGGGGAGTATGCAGTTGCATTTTGAACCTGCATAATCAAAGGGTGTCCTGTTTTAACATGACATAGGATCGAGCATGAAATGACAAGCATTTCGAGCAAGCGAGACAAGGATCCGTGTACCTATCCTTGCAAGCCGATTAATCCATTTCGGTATGCATTTTCCGGTTAGTTTTCTGCATATATCCTCGCAGAAATGGTTGCAATTCTTCACGATCAAGTGATATGAACTGCCGTGATAGTTTGCAGCTTGACGTTCCATGAAGTCTCTAACTTGGATTGGGTCTAAGCAAGTCGTACCGATATAAATTGACTTCCTAAACTTGAAGCCGGGGCATGTTCGAGGTTCGACCTCAAAGATGCCACTTGTCGGGTAGTCGTGGGCTCCGAAGGCATATTCGATGCCGTAAACTGAAAACACAGATAATAACATCCTTAAATGATATACAAATAAAAAACACGAACAGTCCAAAGGGAATATTTGTATAAGCTCTTGAGCTGAGTTTAGCAACAGCCTTCTTAGCATAGCTAAACATAACTAACATGATATTAAGAACATCGACAAGAATCAACTTAATTGCAATGAACTGCCGTAAACACGCTTTGTGAGATCCCACGTCGGTTCGAGAGGGGAACAAAGCATTCTTTATAAGGGTGTGGAAACCTCTCTCTAGCAAACACGTTTTCAAAACCTTGAGAGAAAGCTCGAAAGGGAGAGTCCAAAGAGGACAATATGATCGAGAAATAATCTAACCTTCAACACCAGAGTGAAATATACCGAGGCCAGCCCAGTAGACATAGCCATTTGCGGGTGTTAAGTCATACACATTGAGATAAACCGGCGCTTCGCCTGGAGTACCGGCAGAGGTCTTCACCTTCTCCAACAAGCACAAATCACTGGCTGGTTTACCTCGAAAGTGAAGAGACTTGATGCAATGCCATCCGTTCTCAGATCGAGCTTTCATGGTTGACGGTGAAAGCAGGAATCAATTGGCAGGTAGGCTCAGCCTGTAACGTTTGGAAACAAAAGTACACATTTACTTCATTAAGCTATAATGAAAAGCCAGAGGATTCACTCTGAAGTAGCATGTTTACATTGAGTTTGTTTCCGATCAAAGTACGAAATCGCAACAATGTAGACTAGTTTGTCGTACAAAAACTTGTCTCTACATTCTTAAAACAAGAACAAGAACAAGAACCGACACCTCGGACAGGACAAGTCGTTCGTTTTCCTCTTGACAAGCCCCCAAGGACCTAGTAAATCAAGTGGCTCTAAGAACTATCAAGCGGAAACGAGTAGAATCATACTCCTCCTCGTAGTTTGTCAAATTTCAACCGCATCAATCGACCAAAAACTTGTCTCAACATTCTTAAAACAAGAACAAGAACCGACACCTCGGATAGGACAAGTCGTTTGTGTTCCTCTTGACAAGTCCCCAAGGACTAGTAAATCAAGGAGAGTAGAATCGTACTTCTCCTCGTATTTGTCAAAATTCAACCGCATCAATCAACCAAAAACTTATCTCTACATTCTTAAAACAAGAACAAGAACCAAAACCTCGGACAGCACAAATCGTTCGTGTTCCTCTTGACAAGTCCCCAAGGATGTAGTAAATCAAGGGACTCCTGATCTATCGAGCAGAAACGAGTAGAATCGTCCTCCTTCTCCCTAATCTTTCACAAGGCTAGCATTAACACTTTCTTGGGATCTAATCAAGTCTCTAGCTCTCCATGTTCCCCCATCCCATCAATCAAGTAGAAGTTCTATCTAGGACATATCAATGTCTCTATAAATCCAAGAAAACAGGAGCAAATCCAGCACAATAGATCCCTTCCAGTTACAAGCATTCTTGGATCTTTCCTAATGGAGCCTTCAATGAACTCCTCCCATAAGATTCCTTATACAGTTCCACAAGCAAGCTAGGCCAAAATAAGTGAACAGTGTATGAACAATGCATTTTCAATCTCAACATTCTAACTGCTAAAGAATGCTGAATGTAAGTTCAAACAAAGAACAATTCGTCATGAAATGAATCATAGTTTAGGCATAATAATCCCAAATCCAACTAGATTATATCAAGATCCAAGATTAGCGAAGAAATTGACAGCCAAACAATAAGAAATCAAATGGTGGGTGGGCATTAGATTAGCTTCATATGTCCTTAAAACAACAAGAAGAAGCACAAAAGGCAGAACCCATGTGGAAAAACGAGTTAATTAACGCAAAAACTCAACAGAGGAAGCTAGATCAGATTCAGAAGAGACCCAGAAAGCAAAATGGCAAAAGAAACCAAGAAATACAGAAAAATTAGGGGAAAAGAAGAGAACCCTTTTGGGGAATGGATGAAATAATCGAAACCCATTTGTGTGGAAGTGCGACGAACCTTTTTGGAAGGGGTAAAAGAGCCATCAGAGATGGAAAATGGAGCAGGGAGAGAGAAGCAGGGCAGTGGCAGCCATTTTCAGAGCTCGAAAGGGGCTGGGGGAGCGTGTGGGTGACTGGAAGAGCAGAGACGAAGGGGTAGCAGAAACGAGTGTCCTTTTTGAAAGTGGGTATTAAAGAAAGGGAAAAATGAGAGGCGATTTGAGAGGAAATTTGGAAGGAGCTAACAGTCAATGGTGTTGGTGTTGGTATTGGTGTTGTTGAATTCGATGAAGCTCGTGGACAGCTTGAATCGCATAGTTTTTGGGAGATTTTAAATGGAAGGTTGCCATTTTCGTTGAGCTCACTTTCTCTACTCTCCCAGCTTGGTCCCTGGCTGTCACTTTCAGCTTCCC